AGGAACACCGTGACAAGCGCATGACCACACATACACACACACACACACAACACACACACACACTGACTTACCCTGATTGATGATTATTTGTGGTGTGAATCTTCTGTCCTAAGCCAAGGACAGGAATGAAATTATGAAATGCAAATACACCTGGGAGTTATAGGAACAGTGATGGGAACAGATTTCAAGAACATAAATTTGTGCTGATCCACAAATCTGCCCAAGATCAGCCATACAAAGAGTTATTGTCTGTTTCTGAGAATACATTGTGCCTCCAATACCATTACATCCGTACCCAAAGGAATATCCGGAGATCCATCTGCAAATTGTTCTGCATTTGTGTTATATAAGTGGGAAGCCTGGCCTGTGAGCTAGTTAGCATTACTGTTTCCAGAACTCTTATGTGTTATACGTACAAAAATGGGTTCTCCAGGTGTACCTCTGCCACCATGCTTCCTGCTTACAAAACAGATCTCACCAACAACTACAAGATTTACATTTTAAAGGAACCGTGTTCTTGAGAAACTGTGGGTTTTTAAGGCATATGTTAGGTTTATAAATTTACACTAATATCCATAATTAAAAATTCTAAGTCTTTCCTTTATTATAAAGGAAGATTCAAATTCTGTCCATTTGTCCTATGTATATTTTAACAAAAGTTTGAAATTCTTGAAAATCCATATTTTCATTTAGAATGGTGTACAATGCTTTGATATAACCAAAACATTATGCATACGGTCTGTGGATATCAAAGTATAGGGACAAATGCTTATGCTTCGAGTGGTACAGGATCATTTGATCAAATTTTACATTCTCTCAGTAAGTCTTTAATTGAGAACCACCAAGTCAGCTACTGTGAGAAAAAGGCTGGTGGGTCAAAGTAAGTTAGACTGGATAAGGACAAGGAGTGGGCAAAGGGGCAGTAGGAATCACCTCTACAGCAAAATTAAGGGGAAAATCCTTATACCGACTGTTCTACCACCTTGTTTTTCTGTCTGACCACAAGAGCCCCTCACTTATTCCTTCACATGTCTATGTTCCATAGGACTTGATCTGCATGAAATGAACAGAGAGATTGATTACCGTCCTATAAGGCAATGAGGTGCCATCCCTCTTGGCCTCAGCAAAGGCAGGTTTGATTTTCCATCTAGCAGGGCAAAATGAGAAATCTGTGCCTGTTTTGGTTGTAGAGGCAGTAAGCTACACTTGTGGCTCTCACCATTCATGAAGCCCCCAGTCAAGTTTCTTTTAAAATACTGCCTTTAATCTGAGAGCATCCTTTAGAAGTTGGTACAGTTACCCTTATTTTAAAGATGGAAAAATCGGCTCAGAGAGATTACATGACTTGCAGAAGTAACTGAGATCAGACCATTTTGATGTCAGGGCTGCTGGCCTTTTCCCCACAGCAGGCAGTAACACAGAGGAGTCTGGGCAGTGTCTAAAGTGTTTGTTTTATTCAGCTTTTGCTTATGCAAAGGATTTCAGTTTATTACTGCCTGGAGAAATTCACCTCTGGGAGAAAGGAGTTTGTTATTGTAAATAACTGCGCATTTCTCCTCACATTCCTTGCTCTCCTCCCCTTGCCTCCAGGTCAGCAAGTTTTCTGTAGAGTCGATGTTTCATTTTGGAGGACTGCGAATGTTTCCCTATATTCTTTGCTGTTTTCTTCCAATATTGTAAGGTGGAAGCAAAGGGTTGATACCTGTCCCGTGATACCATGGAAGTTTTCTTTAAAACATTGTTACCTCTCTCTCTCTCTCTCTCTCTCTCTCTCTCTCTCTCTCTCTCTCTCTCTCTCTCTGTGTGTGTGTGTGTGTGTGTGTGTGTGTGTGTGTGTGCGTGTGTGTGTGTGTGTGTGTGTATACCAAGGCACACATCAGAAGACAAGTTGCTGGGAATGGCTTTCTCCATCTACCTTGTAGGTACCAGAGACTGAACTCAGGTTATCAGACTTGGTAGCAGGTGCCTTTATTCACGGAATCATCTTGCCAGCCCTATGTTATCTTTTGTTGTTTCAAATTTGGGTTATTCCTGTACTGCCCACCCTGTAACACTTGGGATATTGAAACATTCTAGAACTTCTGAAAAAGACAACAAACATATTGATCTGAAGGAAAACGAAAATATATGTTTTGTGTGTAGTCTGTATCCCTGAGGCTGTGGCACCTCATACCCATCTGCCCTAAGAATAGGAGTCAACAAACTATTTAAACAATGCTTTGCACTAATCCATATCAAAGCTCTATTTCTTCTTTTTCTCTCATTTCTTCTATTGATCAAATAAACACTAAGGATCCCTTATCGCGTTAAATATCCATAATCTGTAGTGACTACTTGGTGACTGGGCCTCAGTTTTTCTTGAGTGTTTCATGTATGCTAAATAGGAAAAAATAATACTTATTAGAAGCACAGGTTGAATTCATGATTTTTACCAATTATTGAAGACAAGTAGTTCAGTCTATGAAAATGTCATCTTTGGGAGAAAAGAGAAAAAGTCCTGCTGAACAAGATGAAATCTGTAATGAATTATAATCCAGCAGGACAATGAATTATCGACAGAAATAGAACACTTCAGGGAGAAAGAGATTTAATACAAAGTGTTTGGGATGTACTTTTTTAGTAGAGCTCTTCTTCCCTTGAGATCTCAGACCCCAACTATTCCTGTGCCTCCACTGACACCCCTGCTCTTCCCTCCCCTTCAGCACACCCCTCTGTGTTCACAAATCCCTCCTCAGCCCACAGCATTCTGTGCCCTCCGGTTTTCTGTGGCACTTTGGTATTCACCCACAGCTTGGTGCCTTAGCCGCAAACACAACCTTGTTTGGTATTCTTAGGAGCTCGGGTGCATGCTGCCGCCTGTGGTCACTAATCCTTTCTTCTTCAACTTTAAGGTCAAGTCTTTCTAGTTTTTAAACATCTTCTAAAGCTTTTAGTTTAATTTGGGGAAAATATTTGAATTCTTGCCATTATGACATGAAAAAAGAAACTAAAATACTGAAAATAATTATTTCCTTGGTAAATGTTTGTTCTCTTATATTAAGAATAAGGAGAAAATAAAAGATGTTGAGAAAACAGTCTCTAAAAGTTTAAAATATTAGAAGAAAATGGATGCATTAGCCTGAAAAATGTAGACCAATTTCCCTCACATGGGAAGAAACTGGGTGATGTTGTAAACATACCTGCTAGTACACAGTGGACATGTTTATAAACATGCCTGCTAGTACACAGTGCAGATGTTATAAACACGCCTGCTAGTACA